ACACTGTGTGTTCTTGAAATGTTAAAGGAGCTCTGAAGTGAGTCAGCACAAAAGGCTGCACTGTGTCTGCATTCTGCTCATTTTGAAATTTGAAAGCATGTCAGTCGAGGCAGGTTTACGCTGCTTGAAGCTTGAAAGACTTTCATGCTGGGTGTCTAAGATTGCACCCACAAGTCAGTCTTATAGCTCAGAATTCATAAAGATAAAAGCATTTGGATAGAATTGATCATGTTGGCACAATAGATTTTAAACATTCATATTTTGTGTCACATTCCCATTTACATCTGCTATATGTGCTTACATAAAAAACTATCTTTAATTTTCATGGACTTGCAATGCTTTTAGTGATCGTGCTTTTCTCATTAAGATGTTTTATTTGCTATACACTGGACAGATGGACACAGCTGAGTTAACGCAAGGAGGACAAACCATGAAGTGTCTGTATGTATTTTATGTAGCAAACTGTCCTCGCAGACTTTAAACTCTGATTTTAAGCAGCAGTAACATACAGTCAGTTATCCCAGTTACAGATTATACAGATGTACAATTTTGGATCCAGCATTTCAGCAGTCACAAGGCTTCATGACTAGTGTGCTGCTCTGGAAACATTTCATCCTCCATTGTAGAGAAGGATATTTTAAACCACCGAAAGTGGTTGGCTGACACATGTAGCAACTCTCGTAGTCATGGTGGCGACTGTCGCATGATCAGTGCCGCATCACGTTCTGTCAGAAGGAACCAGATATGAGACTGTGAGAACAGGAAGGAGCAGGAGAGAGGAGAAGGACATGAAAGGATAAATCTCAAACAAAGCTGTATGTTTCTTATCGTATTTTTATTCAGCTACTGACTCAATTGAGATGAACAAACCGGTGATGTTTTCTAACTGCTGGAAGTTTCATGTATTTTTGGATTTTGTTTTCTGTTTGGGGTGGGCGGGGGTCATTTTAATTTATATTAAAATGTCTGACAATTCCCACACTTTGTCGACTTCATTTTGACTTTTAATTTAGGACAGCACTTAATATACAAACACTCGTAAGACTGCTATCTTAACCTAAACACATTAATGACAATTAAGAGGACAGCAGATTGACATATTCATAGTCATGCTGCAAATTAAAAAATTGTAATACAGTGGTAGACATATGGAATGTTGCATACTTATTTTCTGTGTGAAACAAAGAAGAACACAGACTGCACAGCTGTTGCAAAGCTGACTGTCAACACCGAATGGATCAACACACAACACAGAAGTTCAATTTTAGACTGGTTACTGTAGTTGTTAAATTATTTTTGTCATCAGCTTTTCGTGTGATCCTGATTTTTAGAGTATGTTCTCATGATGTCCCACTTGGACTTTAACAAAACAAAGGGATACAGCTTTTTAAACATCAACTCGAGACTTAAATCTCACCGTAACGCCCCAGGTAACTTCTATAAGAGGCTGCTCAAGGTCTATAAATTCCAAACATCGGCACACTACAGTTCAACAAAAGGAGAAAACCTAGATGTAGTTCAGTGATGGAAGAGGAGCAAAATATCACTGTTTTACACACATCTTCTTGATGGTGGAGGTAAATTCACAGCATTGGATAGACATGGACTATGCAGGTCGAGGGTCATCAGTCCAACAAACAGGTTAGAGGTCGAGTCAGCTTTCATAAATATTTCCATCTCTGTATTTTGCTGAGCTCAATCCCCACCATCCTTGCTCTGGTCTTCTTTGCTGGTTGAGGAGTTGTCCCCGTCTGCAGGATATTGCCCCTCCTCATTTTGGGAGCCGAGCAGCTGGGCCCTGAACTCCATCCGGGCTTGCCTGTTCGACTCCATTAGTTCGTGCAGTTTGCCATTGAGTGAATCATTACGTTCCTCCAGGTCATCAAGATAGGTGTTGATCTGATCCAGCATGGAGTTGATGGCTTCATACTCTGTGGAGACACAGCAGAGAGATGACGCTTCTCTATCAGCAGAAGCAAAGAACTACTGCAAGAACCAGACAGGAGACCCACACTCATTGTGTAACGTTTCGATGTAACAGAGGTCTTTGTCAGGCATTTTGAAAAGGATTTTAGTTGTCTTATTTTAATTGTCTTTATTTGTTTCCTGAAGTGTTTACCAGCCAATCAAAGTGCTGCACAAAGAAGACAAAGACTGATTGATTTTATATAGTTTTTTTTGTAAGACCAGATTGTTTTGTTAAAATGTTTTAAAACTCAAAAATTTTATAAAGGATTTCAAAATGCCTGAGGAAGATCTCTGTTGGATCAAAACATTGTACAATTAAAACTAGTTGGAGCTTTAAATACTGTGTGTGGATCTCTTTTGGATCCAGCACATGTAAAGGTTTTTTGGATGTGCGTGTCCTCCACCCAGCTTGTGAAAGCAAAGAACAACTGCAGAGGAAAAAAAAGGTTTCTAGTCTTTAATTAACATGAAAGCTACAGTTTAGCTTGTAAAATGGTGACTACTTTCCATCTTTATATCCCAAACACCCCGTTTGTCTGGACAGGATTAATGCTACCAAAATTACCCCCTTTTGTGGGTTTCCTAGAACCAAGAGTAACTAAAATTTATTGTGTCTGTGACAGGAGTGGAGGGCACCTTAAATCAGAGCTACACATGTACAGTATGTTGGACAAATACTCAGCATTTCCCTTCCCATATCAGCCCATCCCAGAAAGACATTTATCTAAAAATAAGAGCTGATTAAACCTGAGTGGTGGAAAATTACTGTATATGTGTATTAAAAAAGAATAGTTTAGAAAACTTAGACAACATTAATCTGACAGCCGTGTAAAACATGGGAAATCTCAGGAAATTAACAAGAAATAATGAATAATACTGTCTAATATATCAGAGCATTTCCAAACACTTCTGTAGTAGTGAACAGATCAACGTAATTTGATGACTTGAACAAGGATTTTGAGCTAAAAATGACAGACAGTAATGATGTTTAGCTGCAGATAAATCTTTCATATAACTGCTGTCAATCTGAGGCCATGACAGTACATGTCCTGATATTACTGAGTATTAAAATACATACGTTTGACCCAGCTAAGCTAATATAAAGTCACTGTCACCTGACTGATGTTTCTGCGGAATTTCCCATTCACTGCAATAACCTTAGCATCGCTTACAATGAATGAACACATTAGCGCATTACCTTCCTCCTCGAATTCATCTTCGTCGTTGATAATGCCCTCCTCAGCTGAGATGTTGGGATCCCCGTTTGGTCCAGACATTATTTAAATATTCACGTCATTGATTTTATTACAAAGAGAAATACGTAAACTAGCTAGGCTTACTTTTGTTGCAGTTGAGCTAGCTAGGTTGCCAGCTAATTAGCATTAGTAAAGTAACGAACAACAAATGAAACCCAGCTAAATAAACAACGAGTTTTCTGTCAAATGTCTATTTTCACTTTATTTGCAGTAAAATGAATCCTCAAATATCGGCTAGGCTGGTTTAAGTTAGCTTGACATCTGTCGTCTTTGACGGGACGTCAGATATTTGTTTACTGAAGCGATGAATTATGGGAAAATATGGGCGGGGTGTTTGTGTCCTCATCGAAGATCGTTTATTAGAGCGATGACTCACTCTGTACAGATAACCTGATGGGTAGTTGAACGAAATATATTTAATATTTCTTTTTTTATGTAACACAAAAAAAATTACATAGAACAAATCAGGGCTAAATACAAAAGACAAAAGCAGCAATGGTGGAAATGATGCCAAAATACAATCAAATACAAAAAGCAATAAAGGTGCCCTTATACAAAAAATATTTTTAAAACAAAAAGGCCACAAAAACAAAATGAAGAAACAATCAGGTAAACACATAAGGAGCACTAAAGAGCAAGGTAAGACACACTTAAAGAGCAATGACCTAGGTAGAGATGTATCCATTTTATTTTTTATTATATTATTCAAATTTTCCATGCAAGGTGGAACAGAAAATATTCCAGTCCTACACCGTAGGAAATCTGTAAATGTTATCACGTTACTCACATTAGTGCAAGGTCTGACTATGACATTTAATGCTTCTCTCATCTCGCCACACCATACTTGACTACATTTCAGTCAGGAACACCTTAGTCAAAGAAAACTTTATTTCCATTTGCAGTATTATATTTGGCGGTATGGCTCTGTTCTGGGGCCTCTCTGGGAAGCTGGGAAGTACAAAATAACGCTTTTTCAAGGGCGGCGACGTTGGAAAAATAAGACAATGGCGTAATGTGCCGCGGCGCGGCACGTCGACGCACGTCGAGCCGCCATCGGTGTGGGTTTGTAAATAGAAAATAATGGGGGCGGCTGTTTTGATGCGCGTCGTACGGTGTGTTTTGGCCTTAAGGCAGAGAGAGCAGCAGCAAAGACCCCCTGGGAACAGAACAGAGCAGCATCAATGACAAGCTTGCAGAGGAAGCAGCAACAGTAGGCAGGCCAGAGCAGTTTGGTTGCATAGAAAGTCATCATGTGATCTATCAGCTACTACATCGTGTCCTGCCCGACCTAATGCTATGCTCAATTTTTGGTTTCTGAAAATACGAACAGAGTGGGCTATCTTTTTTTTCGTGCTCTCTGATTCTGAGCTGTCAGACGCCATCAGTCAGCTGACTGGCCTCACTGCTGTCACCTGACTTAAGTCAATTATGGTTTCATTTTGCCGTCTGTAGTCACTTTAACTCACTTTTATTCTGTTTAATGGCACACTAGCTACAGATATAAAATACACTGACGGGTCTGTGTCATGGTAGCCGATTTATTTTAGAGAAATATAACAGTTACAACGCTAGTTAGCTACTTTAGCTAATTTAAGCTAATCGGTTTTCTTGCTAGCATTTCTGACAACCTCAGCCTTACTCTGTTTGCTCAATTTGATTTTTATCAAAGGGTCGCGTTTGATAATACCACTATGAAAGCTAAATCCTTTCATCTAAGCTGACCTTCCTCACTTTGATCAATGGGTGGCGCCAACATATCATGCATCAGAGTCGGAGCAGTCAACCCACGTGTAGTCACTTCCTGTTAGGGGGGAGTCCTGATCAACACACGGGAATATCTGTTTTGGAGTGTTTTTAAGCTATGGATGAATTGCCTGCGGATCTTAAAGCCTTTCTTCTGAACCACCCGTTTCTTCAGCTTACAGATGCCAAAAAGGTTAGCGAGCTAACTGCACCAAATTTCACGAAACACACTTTGCAATGTGATGCTAGCTGCGATGCTAATGTATATCATGAGGGCTGTGAAGTGTTGTGTTGGCTGGCTGCATGTGTTGGCTGAACAACCTGCAAATGATTAACAAGGTTATAGCTGCACCAAGCTAAACCACACGAGTAACACTACTAACTGTACAACATGTGTTGTTTGCAGATCAAATGCACTCTGAATGGCCATGAGTTTCCATGCAACCTGACGGAGATAGAGAAGTTCACTAAAGGGAAGAAGTATGAGAAGCTGAGTGCCGCAGCAGACTTCAACTACAGCCAGTATGAGCCACACATTGTACCAAGCACAAAACAAGCGTAAGAGAAACTCCTTCCTTATTTGATTTGCAGCAGTTGCATTAACTGTGATGGAAATTCCATAATTTGTTGCTCAGAAATAGACTGAATGAGTGAAGCTAATGTGCACCTGTCTAATGTGCTGTGTCTGATGCCTCCTGTCTGTTTCCCAGCAATCAGCTCTTCTGTAAGCTGACCCTCAGACACCTCAACCGGCAGCCTCATCATGTCTTGAGACATGTTAATGGGAAACGCTTCAAGAAAGCCCTCTCCAAATGTGAGTGTTATACCTCTCTACATATATGCATGCATCATAGCTTTCTTCACAGGTTATTAAAGGTCTGGTGTCTAAGATTTAGGGGGATTTAGTGGCATCAAGTGGTAAGGACTGCAAATTGCAACCCCAAAGCCCAACAAAATTCTGTCCGAACCCAACCTTCAGTGTGGCATATTTCAGCCCGGGTCCGATTAAAGCCTGACATTTTTCTTAACAAGCTTCTATGCAAGAACAAGAACCGGAGTCATTCTACAATTTTAATGTTCTTTATTCATGAAAATGGCTCCATAGTGGAAGAAGTGAACATATGCAACATGTCTGAGGACAGAACACACTCTCACATTCTTATACACTAGAAAATTACGCCAAGGCCTTAGGGTTTTAACTTAAGCACAATTTAGAGCAATATGTAAAACGTCCAGGGGGAACCAGTGTTGACAGTGTTACTAAAATAAATAAGCTTGACTAAAGACTTGGAACATGAACTTAATAACATATATCAAAACAAATAGCCCAGGATAACAAAATTAAAAGAAAACATCTATAAAAATAGATAAACAGAATCGATTAGTAGCCTTTGACCCTGGCTCTGAATCTGTATCGGTCAGCATCACTCAGCACGCCTTTGCAGAGTTGAAGTTCCTGTCTTTTTGCTGTCATATTAAAATAGAGTGTCACAAGCCAGGTTCGGTAAACTGTAATCACCTGAATCCAGTCGTCTTTTCACCTCCTCAGCATCCTGGGTTTTTTTTTTTTCTGTCTCTCTCTATCTGACGGGAGGGGCAGGGCTATGGGGCTCTTGCATGTGTGTCCCTAATAAAGCCCAAACCCAACTTGAGCCTGTGAAATATGTGCGAAATAAGGCCCAACCTGACCTGAAATTCTTCAGGTCCTGACGGGTCCTGTTGGGTTTGGGCGCAGATCTCAAGCTCTACTTCTGCTGGTTGGATTTCCTTCAGTGTTCACTGTTCAGAGGGGTTTTATCAGGAGTTGAGTTATCCACAGAGGTGTCTTCCTCTCCAAAACAAACAGACCTGGGGCCTGTATCACGAAGCGAGATCAACCTTTCCTGGGTTACCCAGACCTATCCTGGGTTGACTAACCCTAACAGTGGCAATCAGGATAATCGGTATCACGACGCTGGATATCAACTCGGTAACTCAACTCAGGGTTGCTTTATCAAGAACCGTGAACGCACACGCAGCGGACCAATCACAATCATGAGAGAAGCGCAGCATTACTGAGCGTCACTGAGCGTCCTCAACTGAGCGTCCTCACAGAGCGTCGTATGTGAGGAAAAAAAAGTATTTCTCGTGAGGATCAGAGATTAATTCTACTAAAATATGAGGAGGAGAAAAGCAACATTACAGTAAAGGCCAACACAGTGGCAGCTGCAGGAGGAGGAAACATGCGTGGCAACGCATAACAGGATGAATAATGTTTAGTTTTAGTTTAGATTAGTTTATTTGTACATAATGTTAAAAACAGATAGTATAAAATTTACAAGATTAAAAAAAAAGAAAAGTGCCGGAGAGGTTAGAAGCCACTAAAAGCTTATCAAAGAAATTCCCCTGTCAAAACATCAATGAAATCACATAATAGAGAAGTAAAAAAAAACGAGTGAGGAAAGAAGAAATAGAGGAGGAGAGAGGGAAAAGTCAAGACAAAACAAGGTAGCAAATAAAATTATGTGTAGGTTAAATTACTCATCACTGGTTCAAGTAGCTACAGTACCTGTACATCTGACACTGATCACACCCTTGAATCCCATGAAATCAGTGCTGCGCAGATGAATTGCATGTATTACAATTATCGTCTAACATCATTGCGTCTGATAAATTGGTCTTCTTTGTCATAACGTTATATATGCTACAATAAAGCTTAAAGCTGACGCCACAATTAAATCATATCAACACCAAACTGATAGTCTGAATAAAATCATCCTGATATTGAGCTGTGTTAGAAATTAACAGCTGCGCAAAAATATACCTAGTCTCCCTCTTTAAAAAACAAAAAGGAAAATCCTTCAAACACCATGAAGTGTAGACATGATAGGCTACTTTCCACATTTCCAGCAGCAAAGCTGTCAATTAGGCCCATTATCTTTAACAGGGATCATTTCCTCCAACAACAAAAAATGTTGGCACTAATTAATGGTGCTATTAAGTGTCCACAAATAATCATTTTCTTTCTTATGAAGGGGTGGGATGAAAGTTGGAAGTTCCACTCCTTTTTGAACAATCTTTTCATTGTCTGTTGTTGTTGCTTTCTTTTCTTTTTTAATGTTCAAAATAAACTTTCAAATCAAAATCAATCAAATTAATTAAACTTCCCATCATGACTGGGCTGCATTTCTGCCAGCGGAGTCAATTTTTTCGAAACAGCTGATTGGCCAGTGGGTGGTGCTTTTTATAGGATCAGATTCAACCCTGATCTTACCCTGCTCTGGAGCAGGATAGCCCTTCAGAGTAAGTTACCATGGTGATCTACCCCGATAAGAACTGAACCGGCTTCGTGAGACCGAAAACCCAGGGGTTAACCCTGAAGTTACCTCGCTAAGACAAAATCCTGCTTCGTGATACAGGTGATTAAAACTGATTAAAAACACTGAAAAATAGAAGCTTCATGTTTCAGATCAGTGTTTCACCAACGCTGATGGGTCGTTAGCCTAGCACCTGCTAATGTGTGCTCCACTTTTCTTTCTGATAACTTAATCAGGAGCTGAATTATCCGCAGAGGTCTCTTCCTCTACAACACAAACATACCTAGTGATTTAAAGCAGTAAAAACACTGAGTAGAGCAGTTTCATGTTAAAAAGCAGTGCTTTTCTGACACTGCTCATCACAGAGTGGTTGCTAACTACAGTGGCAAGTGTGAAAATGCAGATGGCTCTATTTAAAGCCAGTGTTTGGTTTGTCTGCTCTGGGCAACTGTAGAAATATGGCGATCCCTGTGAAAGAAGACCTGCTCCTGTAGATATGTGCAGCTCATTGTAAGGTAACAAAAAATACAACAATTATTATTTTCAGGTGATTATACACCAAAGAAAACACACTTATTATATCATATTCCATTTCTGCCAGTATATCCACCCAAATCCTACACACTGGATGTTAAACTAGGGGGTTTAGCATGCCTTTTGAACAGAGGGGATGTTATATAACTCAAGAACAAAGTCACATAGGCGTTTAGTGTGATACTCATCAGACAGGAAGGAAATAAAACCTATCTGGTGCATATCAGCTGATAAAAATGTGTTTCAGTGGTAATACTTTTCTGCTGAACATAATCACTCTAAATCTGCTTGCCCAACATTTTTTGAAATACATTTTGCTTTTGTTGAATTCATTAAATCACAAACACCTGCATCAATTTAATTTCTTAAAAAAAAAGCATAAACCAATAATTCTGTCATCCCCACATCACCCAGGCAGTTATCTAGTCATAATATTCACATGAAGTTTTAATTTCACACTGATGGACTTCTACAAGGGTTCCTACCCAGTATGGAAAGTTTTAGTTTTAGTAGTTTTCAAGTCTGGATAAATCTGAAAAAAGGAAAGATTATGGAAGAATATTTGTTTTTATAGACTTTTGCCCTTATTTAACTTTCTTAAATGTAAAATTCAGAGTTTCTAAAAACAGATCACTCATACAAGCAGAGTGTTTGTCATGGTGTTTGGAGCAGGCAGCCTGCACTGCCAAAATGTAGTTATAAGAAAAGTAAACATCCTTTCTGTGTAAGGAAACCATGTCTTTATGGCTGCTGTCTTCGTCGTTTCCATGGACACAATGAGAAAAAAAGGCTGCACAGATGCTGTGAAAATTAAATTATATAACTATTTCAGCTCATTTTTGCTTCTTATTTATACAAGAGACAAAAGTATGGGGTGAACAGTTATGTAATATTATTTATTCAAAATAAGAAGGGAAAATGATACGAGTATAGATAGTACCGGTTGGCTTACTTCCTCTTTGGGCAGACATTTCACAGTGGACCATCGTCCAACTTTCTGCCTCAGAATATGGACTGCATGGTCACAATGGGCCAAATATGGTCTGGAAATTCTGGAAAAAATCTGGAATTTTGAAATGAAAAATCAGTAGAAACCCTGTTCAACATCTATAGTGTTGCTTCAGCTCTTATCAGTGTTGCCATTGTACCTTGGTCCTCCAATATTCCCTGATGATGTAACTTAACTTTTATGATGTTATTGTTTGCAGATATATACTGTATGTACAGTCCATGTAATACACAGCAGTTACAGTGGACAGTTCACACTGTCAGCTTGATCACTGACATGCCTTTCTCCATCCTGCTCCAGATGAAGAGTGTGTGAAGCAAGGGATTGAATTCGTCCCAGCTAGACTCAAACAGAAAAAGCCCAAAGACACTGGAGAGGAGGTCAATCACGGGAGGCCCTCAAAACATGGGAACAGCTCGTGGGAGCCCTCATCCAGTGACGAGGATCATAGTGATTCAGAAGACAGCATGAGTGACCTCTATCCACGTCAGTATCCCCTGCACACACTGTAGATGCCTTTGTCCACCTCTGTTATGGTTGTCACATCTAACTGTGTGTCATGGAAGTCCAATTAACTGTTTAACAAACACAGTGTCTATCAGAAGATTAGGCTTGTAGGATTGCTGTTTTACTTTGCTTAAACACCGTGTCATGTGTTCCCACAGCAACAATATTCACTTTAAAAAACCAGGCAGAAGAAGGTAAAGAGGGTGACGGGGATGAAGAGGAAGATGACTTCCAAACAGATGAAGAGGAAGAAATGGAGGTGGATAAGCCGGCGCTGCAGAAACGCAAGAAGGTCTTTAGAAAATTGAAATGGAATCCAATTAATGTTAATAGCTGGCACTGATGAAATGTTGTTTTCCTTGACTGACATTGCTGTTCTGTCTCTCAGGTCCAGGGCGGAGGTTTTCAGAAGAAATTCAGAAATAACCACTGGAAATCAGGGCGTAAGAAACATGGAAAAGTGCCGAATGGAAAGTAAAAAGCAAAACCAAATATGTACAGTATTTTTATACCTGGTAGTTTGTCAGGGAGCAACACTGCACTTCCAGTTTGGAGTCGTACTCCTGTTTGATCCAGCCTGACCTTTTGTATATGTGAACATCCGTTTCATATTTTTCGCATATGAAAGGTGTCCGTTTTCTGAGCTGTGATGTTGCACAGCTCAGACGAGACTGGTTTACATGAAGTGGAAAATGTGTTAGTGGCAGTAAACACATAATTTTAACTGGATAAGTTGTATTGTCTGGTTGCAACCAAGTGTGCAAGTATAAAATACATCTCAATTTGGATTTGCAAACATTGTCTGTGTTTTTTTTATTTACCATCATTGCCTATAAAATGGATGAAAGGGGGAAGATGTTTACTGACAGTAGCTGTTGCAGCCACTAACCTATAATCATTTGACAGAAAAGTGCTGTTCTGAAAAGGCATTTTATGACTTGTCACTTTCCAAGAGGAAACCGTAGCCTGACATGCATCTACTTTCTGTGTATCTATTGCATGGTATTTTATACAGAATGCATTTTACTGTTTCATAAACGGAGGTGGTATAGACACACACAGAGGACTGTATAAGAAAGTGGCTGAAGGTACAGCATGGAAAAATAACCACTTTACTTTGCAGTAGCAGGTAATTGCTGATGTAGCCAGCAAACAGTTTTGACAGCTACATCAGCAATTACATCAGGACAGACTGTCAAGAAGCTTTTATGCTGTAGATAAAAGCTCCTCCAGTGCCTTCATAGATGTTTTTACCCAGGATGGACAGATTTTTCTGCAAAAAATTTCAAGACGGTCATGACTTTGTGGCTCCAACCAGTCACTGCAACAAGTTGTCAGTGATGTATTCTAAGTTCATGTGTACTTTAAAAAATTTTGTGTAACTACAATGTTTCTTCCAAGCCAAATGTTGATAGTAAGTTATGTATATCATGTAGAACATGTAATACTTAATGCATTTAAACAACATCAGCTGACATGGTGTTCACTGGACCACTGCATGTGGTTGGCTAACTGGAAGCACTCACAAGTTAAAAGACTTTCTCCAAGTCTTTGGTCTCAGCAGTTAACGAGCCATGTGGCCTCTTTTACACCTCCATCCCTTTTCCCTTCATGTAACTCTGCTCTTTCATGGCAGTTGTGTTCATTATCCTCTCACCACGCCAACATCAGTGAGTAAATGAGAACAATAAATAGATAGCTGAAGGCAAAAAGTTCATAAGCGTTAATGCTCAGTTATTGTTTGACCTTTGTAGACATGGGTGACACAACAGGGACTTGTCTCTAGACCAGGAGGGTGGTGTCCTCATCCAAGGGCCACACTGAGACACTATATGGTCAGTGAGAGTGAAAGATTTCAACCCAACAGTATGGGAAATTATAGACAGTTGTGTTAGTTTTCTCCATCGCCATTATCAAAACCCAAAAATAAGATTAGATTAGAAAGCTTTATTAATGTCATATGGGGAAACACATTTGTCACCAGGAGCAACTTGTACAGACAAGAAACCCAACAAATACAAATGCATGAAACAACAAATGACAAAATAAAAAGACATTTGAGATACAGTCAACAGCTGGGACTACATCTAAAAGTGATCATTAAAGAATCTGGCCACTGCTGGAATAAAAAGACCTGCTAAGTTGCTCAGGAGAACCCAGAGGCATCCTGAGTCACTTACTAAATGAGCTTCTGAGTCCATTAAGACTACAGTGTGATGAATCACCTTCATAATACAGAAATGTTTTTAGTTTGGACCTTGTTCTCTTTGCTAAATGCTGGAATATCTGCCTCCAGTTCAGTTTCAGAGCTTTGTAGGATTAATGGCGAGGAGAGATAACGCTGCCTCGACACTTTATCAAGAATATTTATGTTGGTTCTCACTCACCTGTGTATGTACTGTATGCACAGTTCGTGTTAAGTGTTTTGTCTAGTCCTAGAAATAAAATGTGAGGATTAAGTTGTTAAACACAACAGAAAACCATACTTTTGCACGCTGAAGGTTGTGTGATATTAAAGCTTCTGTATTTATTTGTTTTACCTGTTTTGTGATTTGTTTAAGTAGTGCAGCTCCTACTTACATGAAAAAAACAACCCTTTCTTTTTTTATAATGTATTCATTCATTTATTAATGCATTCAGTAATTTTTTTTAAGTCCATGAGGTGCACGCAAATTCTGAACCCATAATAATCATAATTTAAATGCACTTCAGAGTCAGAATTAGGTTTATTGCCAAGTTTAAGGATACATAAGTAAAGTAACTTTCATCTGCAAAATGTTACTAAGAGAGACATACCAACCAGGAAGAGAGTCAGAATGACCACAAAGAAACATAAAACAACTAAGAAGAGACATATAACAACTGCTGAAGATGTAAAACAGTTGCAACAATGGAAAGGGGGACTACAAAGAGACACAAAGTGACTACAGAGATGCAAAGCATCTACAAAGAGACTCAAAATGACCACAAAGCAATATATGACTACAAAGAGACACAAAGAGACACACGATACCGAAAAGGGGGACCATAGAGCGAGACAAAACCACTATGGAGATGCTAAGCAACTTCAAAGAGACTCAAAATAACCACAGAGACACAAAATTATTACGAAGAGATGAAAAGCAACTACAAAGAGACCCAAAATCACTGTGAGACAAAGAAAGAAAGAACAAAAAAAGGGGCTGAACAACTTTAAAATCTGTTTGTCTTGCTGCTATGTAGGAGAGGTGGTGGGGCCGTCTGTATATCTATGTCCAGGGGCCCATTGTCCCATAATTCACCAATGAAAAAAGGAAATTGTCTTGGTATCTTTGTGCATAACAATAAACCTCAAGAGAGAAGGAAAACAAGTACTCATAAATATAAATGTTAATAGAAAAGTGTACAGTTGATTATATGAGAATTATATCAAATTACATGTGAAATAAGTGTTTTAAATTAAGAGAGCTGTGCAGATTGTAGTAGTCAGTAAAAATGAAACCATCTTTTAAAAGCTGCTCACATGAGAGTGTGCAGCTGTTGAAGGCTTGTTCATGAACCTGTCTCACAGTTTAAGGTGAAAAATGAACACAGGTGAGTTGAAAGTTTAATTTTGTGCTACTTGTCAAGTGTAAACCCCCTGTACACCGCCGTGTAGCTGTGTCAAGCCCCCGGACGGATCAGTATACGTGGCATACAGCGGTTGCAGTACCATGTAGGGGGCCTCTATGTCTCTCGTCAAATCGCGGGGCATTGTGGGGCGGAGGCGGCCTTTCTCTCTGCGTCCACAGGCGGTCGGGAAATCTTCAAGTAAATAACGTTAACGGGGGGAGGAGCAGTCCGAGGGCAGCCTGCGAAAAACCCAACACATCTAAACTGTGTTGCGCTGAGCTTAAATTATTAAAAATCGTAATATTAGAGAAATATGGGGCAGGAGGATCTCATGAACACAGCCGAAGACGTGGCGGACCAGGTAACTTCAATTTCTGGCACGGCAGTTGTTAACGGTAGCCGCTGTTAGCATGCTAGCTGCTAACTAGTCTGTGTCAGAATGAGCTAGGCTCTTCAGTGTTTCCTTTAGCGTTGTGACGGCTTTAAATATTGTTTCATCACGTCCACAGTAGCTTGTTGACAGCATTAATATAACCTTGGATTAATGGGATAGCTAATTAACTCGTGTTTTACAATGACAAATGGTTAAGGTGTTTGGTGCTGTCATGTGTCTCCAGATGGATTAGCTAGCATTATTAATTTACACCGACAAAGTGAAACATCTGTTTGGCACCGACCAACCAAACTAACGTTAACAGGTATACATAATGGATGTGTGCCTAATTGTGCCAGCTAGTTAGCTTGTCTGTATCCCTTGGTTTGTAAAGTGTAGCTCAGCCAGACAGTGCCAGACAGCAGTTGTGAAATCACTCCCAAGTTATTAGCTAACACTTACTGCTCATATTGTGTTTAGCACCACAGTTGCTTGGCATTGCTTTTGGCTAAGTGTTACAGGGTATTTGTAAATTGGAGAAGCATTTGGTTTTCTGTAACTTAGCATCTGCATGTGGCCTTGACAGAGCTGCTTCATTACACAGCTCACCCAAAATCTGGACATGAGTTGTACCCTCACATTATCATACATGCTACAGCTGCCTTCCTGTAGTTATGTCTGTTTTTCTGAGGTGTTTTTGCTGCACTTACATGAGTACAGGCAGTGCACTCATCTATAAGAGCTGAGCTGAGATGTAAAGATCAGATGTCAGGTCTGCCTCTGATCCATGTTCCTGTGTAGACTGTGAAAATCCCATGAGATGTGTTTTATTGTGTCTTGTGCTTTCTGCTCAGAAGTTACTGTAGTCTGGCTCATAAGAGCCATGTGTGCTGTAGTGTTGTGTGCTGGGTTCATGGCCTTGTGTTTTTACAGGACATACCAAACTTTTAATGTTGGCTCTCTCCTTGGGGAAGGACTGTCAGTTCAAACATGAAGTCCTGGAGGCAGTTCAGTGTATGTTTATAGCACCTGTGTTGACCAAAATTAGCCCACATACCCAAAAAATGCACCACTTCCTTAATCTAATTACAACTGATTGATTTATACACTCCTTTCACGCATGCTGTTTATTGTAACGCATTAAGAAAGGGGAACCTTGGTTGTCTTTTTAAGTAACTCTGCTGACTGCACATCCCTCACTACGGGGTCCTGAAATATGCTACTTACACATTACTCCACAAAATGGTCTATTTCGAGGCTATTGCAGCGACCTTGGGCTTGTTCGGATTGGCTCCCACTTGGTCCATTCATGTCCCACATAGCAGTCATAGTGGGAGTTGGTGGATGCTGATAGGCTGCCGAGGTCTGACAGTGCTGATGTGGACTGCTGAGTAGGCGGGGTGTGGGGCAGGTCACTGCACCTCTTCTGTGTCACTGTAGTAACTGAGGATCCGTTCATGAAACATGTTTGAGGGAGGATTGTGGTCGAGTTTCTTTTCTTGCTTAAACATTCAGCGACTCATAATAATACAATAAGCCATTTAGGATTAGTACAGGGAGGCTCAGGCCTGTTATTGTCTTGAGAGTTGTGGACCACAACAGAACTCCCACCATGCACATACTTTGCCATCTTACACTTTTGAAATCAGTTCATTTTGTTCAAACCTGTTATGTGATCAGTCGGTTTACCTTTGTAGCTCTTGTTTTTTTTTGCTTGAATATGTAACAAGAGTATCTGGAGGGGTTAGAACATCATGTACAGTATGACCTCTTTTTTTATTTTTAAAGATTTTCTAGAGAGAGTTGTTGTTGTACTGATGGCAGCTAAAGCTGCCTGACTAGTCTAGTCTTAAAAATGGAAAACAGAAAAAACAACCCAGATCAAATATGATCTACACTGTGTACATACTTAATGCACATTTACTCACTAAAACAAAGTAAAAACTCGCTCCACAGGTAGCTCCAACTGCCATAGCTTCAGGTGATTGCGTACTCTTTCTCCTACTGTACAAGGGCTCACACTATTTCAGTAGGACTGCTTTGGGATTTAAGCAAAGCCTATCCAAGGCTGCAATTCAGCGTTACATGAGTACTGTTTCGACAGTCACTTATCATGGCAATTGCATTCAAATGACTAGTGGGTTGATTCCTATTCTTATGTAAATAATAATTAGTAGCAGACAGTCCTGATGACTTCTTTTCTTTCACGTAATTTTAGACTCTGAGATCTGTCTGAGAAGCAGGTCAGAATATTATTGTTTATGGGACTTTTGTTTAAATTCACTTGTGTTACAGCTAACTGACCCAGTTTTGTTGTTGTAAGTGAGAGCAGGAACGCCTCAGAAACCACATCCTTTGATTTTTCTTTTTTGCACATCAGGCTACCTTTTTTCTTGTCAATCATATATCCTCTTTCTCCTCTCTGTTGCCCAGTTCCTGCGGGTAACCAAACAGTACCTGCCCCACCTGGCACGCCTGTGTCTCATCAGCACCTTCCTGGAAGACGGCATCCGCATGTGGTTCCAGTGGAACGAACAGAGAGACTACATCGAGGCTACATGGAGCTGTGGCTACTTCCTGGCGACATGCTTTGTGCTGCTTAACCTCATAGGACAGCTGGGTAAGTGATTGAAAGGGGGTGAGAGGAATCAACTCAGCTTTTATCGTCATAGGAAGTAACATGTTCTTGTAACATTACTGGATGGTTTGTGACAAAAAAGAGTGAGTCAAATTGGTGACCAAAGCAGGTGGCTTTAAAAGTGCTACTATTATGAGATGGACAAATCAGTTAAGGCTGTTTGTGTTTTTAATGTTTATTTGAAACAGGGAAGATAAAAGCATCAACAAGCTAAATATCAGTATAACAAAACAGGTAAAGATGTATGACAAGTTTAAAAGTGTGCTCAGTGCATTTCTGCCACGTTTTGTCAGAAAGTTGTGTAATACACACTAACACAGTGAACCTCTGGGTTATAAACCATCTTACTGATTAGAGGGGTCAGGAGAGACTGACAAGACTTGTTGAAGGAAGCCGAGAGGCAGTCCAGTTGTCCCCAAATCAGTTAAGTTTTGCAGTGTATGCAAAAACGCACCCCATAGTTCCTTGAACTCTGAAGCATATTGGCTGTAAGAGCAGCACACTGATGAAGGCATGTCAGGTAGATGTCAAGTTCCATTCTAGTCATGTAAGAACCACAATATGAAGCTACAATGAGCACACACTGTAATCACCACAGCATGGCAGATGGGAATGGAAAATTTGCCCTGGCACTGATATGGTTTGGTTGAGACATGCTGAAGCTGACAGTCAGAGTTTGGCATAATGAATCCATGGACCTGCCCTGCCATGTTTTGTTTACCAAATGAAATGATCATAAGTCTTGTTGCAGACAAATCAGCACCCACAACACAGTGCGGCTGTCCTCTTAAAGGAGTACTTCACCCACTAAATGACCATTTGTATATCGCTTACACACCCCGTGTAACGTTGAATTCATTAAGAAAATTTTGTTTTTCTTGGATGCCTTCATGGTGAACGAAGAATCCAAAAAAGGTGAACATTCTTCATGAAATGAAGTCATTAGGCTCAGTGTTTAACAACAGCAAAACGGAAAAAAAAACATCCATTTACAAACTCTCACACAACTCGTGTAGTAAAATCCAAGTCTCATTTATCCAGTCTCATGCTCAGTACTTCTCAAACACATGCATTTTTGTTAAAAACTTCACAATCAGCCTCATCGAAGGCTGAGTAGCGTGCTTGGACGTGCACGTATGTTTGAATTCTGCTCAAGCAGAGCTCATATGCATGCGTGTGCTCAGGCACGCCCAGGGTGCGCTACTCATAGGCAGGAGTGTTTTTATACCGTAACATTTTAGTAAACCAGGTACCAGGTGGGAGGTACTGAGTGTAAGACAGGATAAAGGAGAATTGTATTATACTACACAAGTCATATGAATGTTTGTAAATGGACATTTTGATAAAGTTTTGCTGTTGTTAAACACAGAGCCTAGTGACTACAATTTATTAAGAATTAAGAATAGAGTCATAAGAAATTCACGGTAACATGTGGTAAGTTAATCATATACAAATGGACATTTTGTGGGTGAAGTATTCTTTTGATAAGCCTCAATCAATCAATCAATCAATCAATTTTATTTATAAAGCCCAATATCACAAATCACAATTTGCCTCACAGGGCTTTACAGCATACGACATCCCTCTGTCCTTATGACCCTCGCAGCGGATAAGGAAAAACTCCCCAAAAAAAACCCTTTAACGAAAAAAAATGGTAGAAACCTCAGGAAGAGCAACTGAGGAGGGATCCCTCTTCCAGGACGGACAGACGTGCAATAGATGTCATACAGAACAGATCAGCATAATAAATTAACAGTAATCCGCATGACACAATGAGACAGAGAGAGAGACAGAGAGAGAGATGCAGGTAATGACAGTAGGTTACAACAACATTATTGAAAGTAATAATATTATAGCTATAGTTCTGGCTACTGTGGTACAATATGTTGAAAGTATGTATTAATATCTGGCAGTATACATGTGTGACAATAGTCATATGTGTATAATAACAGTAGAAGTATGACTAATGACTAATGATGGCAGTAGCAGCAGGAGGCATCTGGCAGGACCATGGCAGCAGCACAACCACACACGTCACACTGTCCAGGCACCGCTGCAGTATGAGTTAATCTGAGAGACAGTGGAGCACAAAGGCTCCGGAGAAGAAGCCGAGTTAGTGACATCCAGAATGGCCGAGTTAGCAAGATGCAGTAATAGAATACGAGAGAGAGAGAGAAGGAGAGAAGGTGCCCGGTGTATTATAGGGGGGTCCTCCGGCAGACTAGGCCTAAGTCAGCCTAACTAGGGGCTGGTACAGGGCAAGCCTGAGCCAGCCCTAACTATAAGCTTTATCAAAGAGGAAAGTCTTAAGTCTAGTCTTAAATGTGGAGATGGTGTCTGCCTCCCGGACCGTAACAGGAAGATGATTCCACAGGAGAGGAGCCTGATAGCTGAAGGCTCTAGCTCCTGATCTACTTTTGGAGACTTTAGGGACCAGCCTGATACTGTAAACTGTGTAACTTTCTTGCAAAAAACACAGTTTGCACAAGCAAGTGAAATTCATCGTTTGACTTAAACAAAAACAAAAATGATAGTAATTATGGCAAATCATAGCTCATGATGGCATTTGTCATTGTAAAAAGAAAAATGGAAAATAAAACCTAGTGTGTTGTGAACATAATGACCATAACTTGCCTGTAATATCTTTTTTTGACAGGTGGTTGTGTCCTCATCCTCAGTAGAAATTTTGTACAGTATGCCTGCTTTGGACTATTTGGCATCATAGCGCTACAGGTGAGAACAAATTTATTGCAATTACATTTTTAATGTGCACAAATAATATTTCTTTGTTTCTTTGATCTGGAATGTCTTTTTCCCCCCACCAGACTGTTGCATACAGCATTTTATGGGACCTCAAATTTTTGATGAGGTAAGTGTCACTCTGTTAAGGTTTAAAGTGCAGCACAAAACAGTGAAATATCTGTATCAGGCTGCTCCAGTTTATTGGCTCCTGAACATAATCGGCCACCAGGGATCATTGTTTCAGTTACCCAATTAAAGTATATGTACAAATAAGTGGAAGAAAACGTGTGAGGCAGTTTGCCGAGGTCTGAAGCAGAATGTTATTTGCATAATGCTTGTCGAATCTCACACTGACAGGTGGTTGCTGATGTTCAGTTTTGAATTTCACTGGTAATGATCATAGATTGGAACTATCTTAATTAATCTGACAGCATGTCATGCCCTTTCTGCCGCAGTAAATGTGAATTTGCCATTGTAGTATGAGAGAAAGCATCTCAGTTGTCAAGCAGACACCAACAATTACTGTGAACACGGCCTGTGATTTATGTAAACATCAACAGGCAAGATGAGTCATCGACCACTGGAGATATCCCTTAAATATAGGCATATGTTGTAGTATTTCTGTTTCTGCATTCTGTGTATTTTTTATTTATGTGCTGTTGGTTGTTAAAGACAAGGTTAGCAATCAGTAAGCTGATTAAAAAAGATGCCACGTTTGATTACTGATGCATAATTTAATGAATTTAAATACCAGATTTGAAATTCCAAAAACAAAATAAGCTGTGTTGTGAAAGGCACTTCTCATTTTGTGATTAAATAGGTAATTAAAAACAAAAATGATTCATTCATTAAAATTAAAAACAGAGACTGAAACCATACTGAACAGCCTCATTTCACTCTTAAATAAGGTCATGATCAGCCTCAGCAAACCCGACTGTACTGTATGCACCAAGGCATTTTACTGCTCGTCTGACTGCGTGTCTGACAGGCACTGTCCAAAAATAACCATCCTCTCTCCTCTCCCAGAAACCTTGCCCTCGGAGGTGGTCTGCTCCTGCTGTTGGCTGAGTCTCGTTCGGAAGGAAAGAGCATGTTTGCCGGAGTCCCCTCCATGGGAGAGAGTTCGCCAAAGCAGTACATGCAGCTGGGTGGTCGAGTACTGCTAGTGCTCATGTTCATGACTCTGCTGCACTTTGACTCCAACTTCTTCTCTGTGAGTACACGACAACATAAACCCTCATTTAACACAGATGGACATTTCATCCATAAAGGGGACCTGTTATGCTCTTTCTCATTTTCTGACATGTATATGTATATATGTAATGTGACGGATTTCTTTATATGGCCATCTGCTCCGGGCACATCACTGCATATGTTTACACTACACAGCCCACACTGCTACTTGTAGCTACATGCTAACATCAGGGAAACATGTAATCTTTGTTGCTGATAAAGGCTGCCCCTTGAAAGATGGATATTCAAATCGTCAATAGGAAACCCCTCAGTCAACTGAGATAACTTCACCAGTTTTTTTTTTTTTCTTTTTGGTTTGTTTGGGGTTTTTTGCTAGTTAGTGTGCAGTGCAGCGTACTTCTGGGGACGTTTTGTTCCCCAGATTTTGCTGCGGAGTGAGTGCTCTTGACTCTCACGCTTCTCTTTGGTACAGACAGCTGTGGCAAAGAGGAGGAGAAACTTTCTATCATAAAGCTCGGAAACAACATTATCTTCTCTCTTCTGCTTGGAAGTGATGAATTTACACCTCACAGATACTTAATATGACACAGTCTCTCACTTTTGTTTGATATCTGTTGTCGGCAAAAAAATGTTGTTGCACATTTCCGATCTGTCGTTGGCGCTGTTAGCTTGTTTAATTTATTACATGAATGCTCCTGTCTCCATGAACGTCCCACTGAGCCCCGTTCAAAGTTTAAACCTTTATATGGAAAATAAAAACTGAATCGTTGAATATTTGTAACAGACAAATCTGATTCAACTGAAAGAATTCTGAGACTGTTACAGCCCAATTACCGATGTTGTTTCATTTCTACCCAATTTCAGATCATTTTACAGCTGAAACATGTCTGCTTTGAAAGATTTTGGTTTAGAAGCTCTTAATAGTGATTTTTTTGCACTAAAAAGTGCAGCTGTACTCTGTTACAGTCTTTCTTGGACGCAATGACGGTGCAGACAGTGTCCAAAATTAACTTTTTGATTCACTGGCCTAGGTGACAGGGAGATGAAAAATCCACATACCAAGCTTCTTGTTTTTTTACCGGCCAAAATAATAAATTGCCTCTTCATGTCACATTGGTACATCTTATTGAGATAATCAGGTATTATGTTGAATATAAACTTAAAGAAGAGGTCAGAGCAAAATATGGAATAAGTTCCCTCTGATAAGCAGTTATGCAGTGTGTATGTCTTGAGCTTTTACTATGAAAAGTAAGATTAGAAGGAGTGAAGCTGTAATGTGCTGCTGTTGACAGCATGAGAAGAACTAAAGAGTTTGCCATCTTGGCTCAGACTGTAGATTTTCCATGTTATTTTTTTATTACCGTCATAAGTATGGACACAACTCATAACCCTTGGCTACACATTAGCAGTAGCTAGCAGCAGACCAGCAACAAGTGATACTTTAATGGATCAGCTGATGTCCTGTATGGTAAACAGTGTGGCAAAACTAGGAGTGCTCAAGATAGTCAGCTGATGGCACTGTAATGATGTGCATAAAACAAATCTGTAGTGTGTGTGTGTGTGTGTGTGTGTGTGTGTGTGTGTGTGTGTGTGTGTGTGTGTGTGTGTGTGACACTGACAGCAGAGGAGCAACAGTGCAGTGTGTCCCTAAATGACACCAGAATGAGTAGAGATGCAACATGCTTTATTCTTGTATGTGACTGTTTTGGTACAAACACTTACCCATCAGTGTGGCATGTAGCCCTCTGAGATTTACTCGCCAAATTGAAAATCTGCCTGCATTTGGCGCTTGGTGGGTGTTCCTCGGTGCAGAGATGCCAAGAATGCAGATATGGATGACCCAAAAACACTGACTAGTCAAAGGAGACTAAGCTTTTTTGGGAGGGGAGCTTGAACAGACAGGTGCTAAAAGTGAACTAAAAGTGCACCTCTTCACTCACCTATTGTAACATTCTTCCACAGATCCTGCAGAACATGGTTGGAACTGCGCTCATCATACTGGTGGCCATCGGCTTCAAAACCAAGCTAGCGGCACTGACCCTCGTCGTGTGGCTTCTGGCCATCAACATCTACTTCAACGCTTTCTGGACCGTCCCTGCCTACAAACCCATGCATGACTTCCTGAAGTACGACTTCTTCCAGACCACCTCCGTCATCGGTGGTCTGCTGTTGGTGGTGGCACTCGGACCCGGCGGAGTGTCCATGGATGAGAAAAAGAAGGAGTGGTAGGCAAACGGGGTAAAGATAGAGGATTGCACAGCACCACTAACTCCCCCCACCAACCGGGACACATGACCCTCCCTCTCTTCCAGTCGTCGTTGTCGTCGCCCCCCCTCCCCCCTCCCACCACCACCACCACCACCAGGGTACAGTGTTTTGTTTTGTTTTTGTTTTTTTCTAGCTTATTTTTTATTTGGCCAACAGACACACACCACCTCACCCATCTATGGACAATTTTTTTCTATATTCCTCCAAACTGCTGTTTTTCGTTTTTAGTTGAATATATATAATGCCTGATTTTTTTTCTAAACTCTTCTTGTATGTCGTCTTTTTTGAAGACAGCAAGAATAAAAAAGCCCAGTGTATTTCAAAGTGCAAGGTAAACAACTAATGGATGATAAATGGAAGAAAAGATTTATTTGTTCTGTGTGCACAAGGAATAAAAAGATATATTTTACAGGAGTTTATGCCATGAGTTACAATAAATTAACGTTGATGCTTTATATATAAAACCGGTAAATTGGAGTTCAGCAGTTTGGGTTCCCCCCCCATGGACGCTGATCTGTTTCCGCCGTTGGATCTTGGAGTGTCTGAGACTTACTTAGCGTATGGAACTGTGGCACTGATTTGACAGCAACTTGCTTTGACTCTCTAGGTTTCAGCTCCCCTCCTTTTTTTCCCTGACACCTTAGCCTTTTATTCATCTGTACACCTTCAATCTCAACTGACTGTTGTTCATGGGGAGTCGAATCCGAGGGGGGGGGGCGTGTACATTGTATACAAAGTGGTGGATTGCAGTCGTGCTTGATTGAAAAATTCAACACAGTTGTTAGCTCCAGGACTTGTTAATGGGCACTTTGTACTGTACGTCTCTGGCAAATGCCTAACTAGTGAACTGTATATGATCGGGGGATAACAGGGGTGGGAGGCTCGACGTTTGTGAAACACCATATTCTGCGATCTAGAAAAGCAAAGAGGACTAAGCAGAGTCACTAGCCATCCGGACTTTGTCTTTGCTCAGTGTTTTTTGCCCTATGTAAGAAAAAATTACAAAAAAAGAATATTCAGTGTATTGATTTTCAGAAGTTTATATTGTATTTTTGATCATTTGTTTTTTGATTTTGGAAGTTCATGGCGAAGAAATAAAAATTCAGAAATATAAAGTCACTGTCTCAGTCAAGGTTTTTAGCTCTTACGATGTTCTCGGAGGCTGAAGGTTTTTGGTGGACAAGATAAATTCATGTAAGTTCTACTTACGAGTACGAACATGCAATATAGTGAAGTCTTTGCAAGGACCTGTTGGGTATCACTGAAAATGGTGATGAAAAGTTAAAAAACATTTACCAGATTTCAGTCCAAGGTCTGGACCCAGTCAACAAAACACTGTTGTGTCACAAGAATGAACCAACACGTATGTACATGACATGTAGGTGCTGTACTGGACAGGTGGTGGAATCAGCTTGTTCTAAGGTCAAAGACTTTGAGCAAACACTGACCTCTAATGGACTACTGTGGTAAATGTTCACTGCAATGGAGCATTTCGTCATTTCAAGCCACACTGATAAAATAAGATATGGGACAAAGACATTGCTACATACATCTGAAGGTGGTTGTTGATGTCAAAAAAAATGTTTGTGTGTTGTTTACAGTGTCACCTGCTGAAAGAAATTCTGATCAACAGAGCTACTCGACCATAGAACTTTTACCATGAACTTCAATAAACAGCTCTTATTAGCATGAACTGATCAAGTTCTCTAAAATTATTTTAAGACTTTTGGGGGAAAATGTTATTGCAATGTTGTCGACCTAAGCAGAGAAGTGTGTCATAGAAACGTGATCCAGATGAGGAAATGAACGTTGATCTGGTTTAGGAATCCAAACTCACCTTGTATCCCATCTTTGAAATGTAGCTAAAGAAATAAACACAAACCCTATATTATTTCATTAAAAAAATCAAGGCCTTTCTTAGCCTTGTTATTTTCCTTAGAGCCGTCCTTTGATTTAGAACAGTGGTTCTCAAGCTTGTTTGTGTCAAGGACCCATTCATACATATGAGGTCACGGATAAGATAAGATTTGGCTGAAGTGACCTGCATCTGAAAAGATTTTATATGATTTAGACCAGAATTCTATAGCTGTCAACTACAGCTGAGGAAATATCCATGTTGGAAGTGAAACCTATGATCAGACTGGTCACTCTTATGACTCTGACTCACATGAGCTAATTTCTATAGTGAATTGTGAAAAGTAACATTCGCCATGTTTCTGGGGACCCCCTAAAACTCCCTCAAAGACCCCAGGGGTCCTTGGACTCCTGGTTGAGAACCAGTCATTTTGCATATGTTTGTTTAAAGATGTTTGGGCTGTAGGGACTCATATTTTTCTGTTAAATAAATGAGGACTAGCTTTCACTGGGCATATGGAGTTGTTTATGTTTATTGGTCTTTAAAGACACATGAGGCTTTTCAAGTATGCAGAGATAAAAAAAAAAATGTGTGTTTTTCTGTAGTAAATCTCACAAGGGAACACTGAAAGAAAAGAGAAATCATGGATAAGAAGAAATTATAAGAGCTGAAGTTACTAAATTGTACAATACAAAATATCTAAAAGCCTCTGTAGCGTTAAAGATTAAACAAAAGTTTCCCAACCTTTTCGGTGAACGGACCTCACAAAAAAAGCAGCATGTAGTTTGGAATGAGTTTGTTAGCACTTCCAGATTTCACAAATGACAGCAAAAATTAGAGTAAACACCAACAAAATAAATATGACTTTGTGATGCAGACCCTTGTGTCTTCTTCTTTCCTTACTTATCTCACAACTGCTTAAATTAATGCTTGACCCTTTGAAAGGGGCCCAAGCCTTAAAATACCTAACTGTATTATTTAAGTCGCTCCATCTCAATCTAATTATGATTATGTGGGGAGGGGTTCACACTCACAACCCTGTCATAGCCCCATTAACCCTACATTAACAATAGCTACATAGATAGGTTATAAGACTGAGCTTTGTATAACAGAAGTAATTAAAGCTCTCTGAGGCCCCTCTCAAGTTCAAGAGGCAAAACGGTTTAGTTCACCCCTGCATTAGGATTTAGCTCTAAATGAAGCTAAAGCTGATTGATGATGCTGCTGGGGCACCGATGTATGTCTCTTCCCAATACCTGTTTTCCAGGGTTAGGGTTAGGGTTAGTCTGTCTTACTGTGTGTTTTTTTTTTTCATGTGTCACATTTGATGTCACAGACAGGCCGGAAAACAGATCAGTTGAAACTTTACAGTGGTTTCTTCTTTTTTATCTGTCACTTACTTATTCAGACTCTCTTTCAAACTCAGTGCAGACTAATTTCGAATGATGTTTTAGCACTGCTTGGGCAGAAATGGATGGTATTTTGTGGCTGTGCTTCATGGTATTTCGGCTGTAAAGGAGCTAAAATTAGCATGTTCACCCAGGTGTTGAGAAAATACAAGAACTCTTGAACCCGATTTATCAAGAAAGACAGAATGAGCAACGTTCATTCTAAAGCAATATATCACACTGTTAATCCATTTGGATATCTGCCACTTAACACAGTGTGCTACCTCACTGTAAAACACTATCATCTTATCTGTAGATCATTCTGAGAGCACCTAATTTAAGCTCTAAAACTAGGGCTGCAACTATTTGCTTTAAGTGTCATCCAGTCCTCCAATTATTTAGTCTGTAAAATGTCAAGAAAAAGTGCAAAATGACCATCACAAGTTCCCAGACCCCAACGTGACATCGTCAAACTGTTGGTTTTGTCCGTTCAAACAGGTGGCATCATAGTATAAGCAGCAAATGTTCACATTTCAGAAGCTGGAAGCAGCAAATGTTTGGGTTGTTTTCTTGTTTAATTACGTCAAATAGATTGTAAAAATTGTCAAATGATTTCTAATTATTTAGACAATAAAATGTCAGGAAAACGTGCAAAATGCGCATCACAAGTTCCCAGACCCCAGGGTGACATCGGCAAACTGCCCGTTTCATGCGTTCAACAGGTGGTATCATAGTATAAGCAGCAAATGGGCACATTTCAAAAGCTGAAAGCAGCAAATTTAATTTTTTTTCTTGTTGTCAAATAGATTGTGAAATTTTCATTTCATTTCCCATAGCTAACCTAGCTACATTTTTACCTGGCACTATAGTGTTTAGCAACAGCAGCTTACCCATCCATGCAAGTTGAAACAGGATTTGTAGGTTTTGTAGGATAAATAAATGTTATCCGGAGACGTTTATATCATTGCTCGGCTGGTGAGGAGTGGAGGAAAGCAACAGCAGCATGCTGCTGTAGTCTGACAGGTCCAGCTCAAATTGCATCATCAACACTGTGTCCACAAGCTCCTAGATGTTCATTCAGTCATTCAGTCAGCGTGGAGAACAGGGCTGAGTGATGAAAGATGCTCTTGAGTTGCGTTATGGGAATTGTAGATGCCAGTTCTGACCATATAATGTATCTCTTCTGTTATGGAAATGCAGTAATAAGTCTCTGTTCAGCAGTGGTTGAAGAAGCTTCCAACAGTCGAAATTAAAGCCAGGATATTCTGACTTAAGGTCCTAGTATGCACTCTACAATTCCCATAACGCAACTCAAGAGCATCTTTCGTCACCTCACCCTGTTCTCCACGCTGACTGCATGAATGAACATCTAGGGTCTCGGGGGGGGACATAGTATTGATGACGTAATGAGAGATGGACCAGTCAGACTGCAGCAGCTGGAGAAAAGAGCACGTTGCTGTTGCTTTCCTCCACTCCTCAGCCGAGCAACGGCACAAAACGTCTCCGGATAAAGTCTATTTATCTTACAAAACCCACTATTTTGTAAGTATAACCTACTTTATTGTTTTTATATTTCAGTTTTAAGTTTTATGAGTCACTCTCAGCGACAGCGTCTAGTAACGGTTTGTCACGAGGGGTCTCAGCTGGCACGGATGGGCCAGGCAAAATGTAGCTAGGTTAGCTAACTCAGGAAAAAGACAACACTGTGCATGTTTTAAGCCAATATATGTACTTAATAGCGCCAAAACAAGCCTGACACCTTGTTAGTAGGCCTATACATGACACTAACTGAAACAAATCTCAGCTGTGCGTGTCGGGGCGCACAGGTTAGCTTAAATGTTGCTCCTCTGAAAACGCAGTTTTACCATGTGAAAACTCTGAATTGACTAAATTGTTTTGTATCCACTTCCTCTGGTGGAAACATAGATTGGGATTGGGAACCAAGGGGTGTCACATTTTGTCACACCTCCAAATAAGCTTACATACAAGAACTCTTTGTTTTTTCAAGTGGGACATGTGATGTAAGCTATCTAATTTTTTAAGGTTGTAAAAAGTAATTAAAATTGACAACCTGTTGCATTTATAATTATGTTAATTTTTTGCAGTATGTAACACTGTTAATCCATTTGGATATCTGCCATTTAACACAGTGTGCTACCTCATTGTTAGAACACTTTTATCTTATCTGTAGATCATTCTGAGAGCACCTACTGCAAAATGCATATCACGTTCCCAGACCCCAGGGTGACATTGTCAAACTGCTTATTTCATCCATTCAACAGGTGGCATCAAAGTAAAAGCAGCAAATGTTCACTTTTCAGAAGCTGGAAGCAGCAAATGTTTGGATTTTTTTCTTGTTGAATTACTTAAATGTCAAATAGATTGTAAAAATTGATTTGATTTCCCTATGATCATCATATATTTTAAATACAAGCTGCCTCAGGGCCTGTGCCGGAGCTGTGCTGCTCTACGATGAATGAAGCTATTGAAGCTGCTTGCCATGCACATTGTTATAGATTAGATATTTAAGCATGTTGTCCCAAATGTCAATATANATTTTAAGTTTATATGTTCCAATACTTTTGCTCACCTAAAAATTTTGTGTTCCATTACAAATAATGCTATCTTCTAAGTTGTGTATCAGATCCAGATGTAAATACCTGGAAATAAAAGCTGAAATGTTGATCTCTTGTCCCATATTCATCTTTTGATGTCAAACCCAAATGTTTTCAGTCTACAACAAAAGTAAATGAATTGGACTCACTGTTCCAATACTTTTGGAGGGCACTGTATGACCAGTAAACACTGGTCATATATTGACATTTCAATTCCACCTAGGCTGGTGACTCATATTGCATCTCTGCTGTCGCTTCTCTGCTTCTACTCCACAGCTTCTCTACCATTTCGGACTGAGCTGCCCTCGTCATGTCTAAAGGTACAGTGGTTCTGGCCTACAGTGGTGGACTGGACACATCCTGTATTCTTGTTTGGCTGAAGGAACAGGGCTACGATGTGATCACGTTCTTGGTAAGCTTTAGGGACTAGTGTGTGTGCAACAGGTGTCTTAGTTTCAAAACAGCTGCTTTTGCATGTCACACATCTCTGTTGTGTTATAATTGACTGTTTTCTAGCAGCTGACACAGTTTGTCTTGTCTTTGTCTCAGGCATGTAGGATTTTTTTTTTTTTTTTACTAGCTCTCCCAAAATCCTGTCAGAGCTACAGTACAGTTAACCCCAAACCACACAGGATTTGGCTTCATAATGCCAGTGCAAATCTAGCTGGATTTACTTTCTGCCCTGGGGCGGTTTAGAACTGCAAAGCAAGCAGATTTTCTTGTTGTCTAACTTTTCATTCAGTGGTTTTGTGATTCAGTGTGGGGGGATGGGCGATTGTCTGTAGTTCACCACTGTGGCACTGCTGTGGCAGGGAAGCAGAAGGAGAATAGCAGGCACT